AAAGAATAATCAAAACAAAAGAAACTTTTTAAGAAACCTTAAATAAAATTCAAGTTTTTTTTTTTTTCCTTTATAAACAAAAAGAAAAAAAAAAAACATTTTTTTAGATGATAATAATAATAATAATAATAATAATAATAATAATAATAATAATAATAATATATATTATAAACAATAAAAAGAAAATAAATAAAGCGACAAAATAAAAATAAAATACAAAAAAAAATTTAATGAAATAATATTTTATTTTTATTCTGTATGGAGTTGACATTTTAAAAAAAAAAAAAAAAAACATAAAATTTTTTTTTAAATGATGCTCAGAGGAAAAATCAGAGGCCAATTTAATTTTAAATCTTTACAAAAAAAAAAATCATATTTTACGTGTTTTCTTTAAAAAAAAAAAAAATCTAAATGGAAATGAATGAAAAATAACAAAAAAAAAAAAAAAACATCGGAAAGAATTTTAAAGAAAATATTATTAAAAAAGAAAACACAACACAAAACAACTTTTTTTTTTTTGCGAAACACAAACAGAATTAAATTAACGCGAAACCGATTTCACCCTCCCCCCCTTTCCCCTCTTTCCCTCCCCTCTCCTCGCGTTCGAACGAAAAAAAAAATGGCGAACTCGTTACGTCATTGGGGGAAAAATAAAAAAATAAAAATAACAATGATAACTTTCTTTCACAGAAAATTTCGTAATAAAAAATTCGAAGATTCGAATTTGAAAATATTTAGTATTGTTATTATTATTATTATTATTAATATCATTATTATTATCATTATTATTATTATTATTATTATTATTATTATTATTATTATTATAATTGACGGAAAAGTTGAAATATATTATTAAAATTACACTCGAGTGGTTGTTTTTGACAAAATTCGAAATTAAATAATATTTTTATTTTTTTGTGTATGGTTTAATAAAATTACACACGAGTTTTATATTTTATCATTTTAAAAATTATTATTATTATTAAATTTATATAGAATAATAATAATAATAATAATAATAATAATAATAATAATAATAATAATGATAATGATAATGATAATTTTATTTTCTCGTAAAACACGATTAAAATTATTATTATTATAATTTCAGGGATTATTTTTCGGTTTTTTTTTTATCGCGGTTTATTTGTTGTTGTTGTGTTTTTCCCCATTCGTTTCGTTCGATTGATTTTAAACGGGTTTTAATAATAATAATAATAAAACCGGAAATTACAAATTATAAAGTTGTTCGCGTAAAAAAAAAAATGGCTGACCGGAAACGATTCGTCTCGTGTTTTTTTTTCTTTTTGTTGTGACGACGACGTAAAATTTAAATTCTAGATATTTTTTTTTTGTTCGTTTTTACTAGAGAATTTACTGGTAATGTGGAGAAGAAGGAAAGGGAAAGGAGATTAAAAAGACATAAATAAGAATTTATAAACAATATTAATATTAAAAAAAAAAAGAAATATAAAAAAAACTATGATCGGAAAAGTTTATTTTCTCTATGAAATTAAAAAAAAAGAAAAATGACTTTACGCCGTTTGTTTGTTAAAAAAAATAAATTCGGTTTTAAACAATTTTTAAAT